TTCATTCTAGCGCTTGGGCGCTATCGTCATTCGGTGCCTTCGTTGTGTCGAATGGGTCATGAGACTCTTTTTCGCAAGCTTCGTTCGCGCGTTGAACTCCCACACAAAGTAGTTTTCTTCGCGGAGTAGGTCGCCTGCGTCGTTGGTACTTGGGCTCATAACCTCTTGATTTAGTGTTGAGGAGACTGTTGGTTGAGTGAGAAAAATGGAAAAGTTATCGATTAAGGTGCATTCTTCTTATGCATTCTAAACCAATGGTTCCTATCCTACTGTTGCAGTTGAACTTCACTGACGTCAACATTATCCTGTTACTGGTTCTGGTCCTGTTAAACTTCACTTACTTCAACACTACCAAGTGCAGCGGGGCTGCCGTAGCTTTGCGCTTAGAGGAAGCGAAATTCGGGCTACCGACCTTACGTTCTTCACAAGAACCTGTACGAATGTAGCGGATCGCAATCCGCTACCTCCAACAGTAGTTAGATCCTTAACCCGACGCTAATGAACTCTTCTGTTTAATATGTAAAACGTATTTATTTGTTTTATCTGCGGCAAAGCCGCCTAATTTCAAATGTATAGATAAATATATAGTAAAATCTAGATACATGCATGAACACTGGCTACCTAGCCACGTACCGTATTATTATTTATGTGCAGTCACACAATGCCCATCTCGTGTGACACACACCCCTGTTACCAGGGTATATTCAACCCCGTTACATCTAAGGCAAATTTGCAACTGAATTAATATGATACAATGGATCCTAGTAACATGCAAAATACCGCAAGGCTTTCTAAAGTTATTAGAAATAAAACCTTGAATTCTTGAATTATAAATCAGGGATGTAGTGAGGTTGAACCTCAGCTTCAACGTACGCAAGATCTTGGGATAACGGAACTTGAACTTCGAAAAGCTTGAACTTCTACTTTCATAGAAAGTTTTTAGAAGAAGGGTCTGGTTCACGACACTTACTTCGAAAGCTATCTATTTTGTAATGTTGGAGTTGTCAACCATCTTCGATTTTTATTCAATCCATCAAACAAGTCAATCATTAAGGTATATATCTCCGTGGGTGTTGTTGCATCTGATTAGCTAAAATATTCCATTCTAAACTGTTTTGATCAATTTTTTCCATTTAATTTTAATATTATGATAAAATAAAGGGAGAATAAAAAAATGCCCCAACTTTTGCCATATATAAAAAAATATCCCAGCTTTTCAA